GTGAAGGGAGGGGGGTACCGTGTGCTCCAGAGGTGGCATCCCCCCTCCCCTACGTAGCTGGGACGCCTCGTACCCGCGGTGCAGGGACCCCGCCCCCCCTCCCCCCACCCCTCCCCCCTTGCTACGCCACGGAGTAGTGCGTTGCGGAGCATAGAATGGTAGTAGAAGATTTTGTAAAGATTATCCGCAACAAGCCCGGAAACGTTTGCTGAATATAATTTACGTCTTGTCACATTCTCGACTTCTTCACAGACCCCCGATAAGAGATTGCGAATATTCGTCTGCAGCGTCTTTGACTTTAACAAGTAAGTATACTACTCTTGTACACAATGCTCAATGAGTGAAAAAATACCAATTTGTACTATTAGAAAAAAACTGGGCGGAGAGTGCGGAAGGGCCAATCTAAACGAACGATCAGAGGGCCACACGGTTAACATAGCTAGAATAAAGTCAGTGAAAAAGCTTCCTAGAATGCATGCTAGAACGCCTGGTTTCGTGACGTGTCAGCTTGGAAATATGATGAAAAACACGTATATTTACGGTTTAAAAATCTCAGCAGAGCTATCCTTTATTTTGCTGTCTAAATATACTATACGGTTCCTGGAGAAACTGCCCTCCAAGTGGCGCGCTGGGACGAGCGCTAGAAGTTTTCAAGCTCACCACGGCGTAGCTCCGTACACTCAACACGTGCCGCCAGTTTCGGCTTTTACTGCGCTCAAGTTGACCGAAAAGTGGTTTCTCTGCCCTCGAAGCATCGCTTCAAGCTGAGTGAGTACCCGCTCTACAGATATTAATTCAAAACGACAATTGCAGCCGCGCATGAACAGCACCGATACAAAAACAAATACTAAATAGAGAAACTGGCTATGAAGTGCCGTGCGGGGAAGCAAACGCATACCTTGGAACCGCATTGGAGCGGCCTGTTCTATATTGGCTTTCAAATAATTACCGCATAAGCGTTTACTTTTCACTAAGAGATTCGTTCCCTGAGCACTTCAAAATACACTCAGAGGTATGATACTACTGGAGAAAAATCAACGTCCTGGGAATAATATTTATTGCTTAGGTGGTCACCGAGAAAATCCGTACCTTCAATACGACCAGAATAAAAGGCGCGCAAACGCAGACATAGGACGTAGGGGGAAGAAGTGGGCTAACGCGTCTCAGCTCGGAGCGTGGAGCGAAAGCTTGAGCTGGGAACCTCCTGGGTTCGATTCCCCACCGCCCCTGCCCGTTTCAACCTGGATGAGTTTCGTACCGGCACGCGTTCGTGTAATCACTACTGCGTGATGCACGTTAAATATCCCAGGTTAGCGGTTGCACTGGCTAAATTTTTCATCTACAGGTAAAAGACCGATTACCTGTCGTGGCGTATCTCCATGAAGGCTGTATAAAATAAGGAGCAAACCAATTTTTTTTCGACCTCGGAGGTACCGAATGGGTTAGTGTGCTGCTGTAATGATGTTAGTATGGGCCGTGTGTGCGCTCAATCAATATGTTCAGCTGATATATATATATATATATATATATATATATATATATATATATATATATATATATATATATATATATATATATATATATATATATGCTATTGCCATTGGCATTACTAATTAGTCCCACGACAAAAGTTGCACACAAGAGTTGTTTCGATAAACGTCAATACCTTAAAATCGATAAACTCCTGGATGTAGTCGCTGGGAAGCTAGCATTCATTCCATCCTATTCCATCAACCTATCCCGCGGATGCGCCAGGCGGAGTGGTTAAGGATGGAATAGAGAACTTTCAACTGGCCCCCTTTACCGTTTTATGCAATCTCTATAGTTCATAGCTTTCGTTGTTACAGAAACACAATCTAGCATAGAGCACAAAAAGTATAAGGCCCAAACTGGACAACAGAACAGTCGCTTTTGTCGTGACCCGAAAGTGCAATGACCGTCCTGAATGAACCTTGACGAGATAAGCAGTAAAACCCCTGTAGACAATGGTCCGAGATTCGAAGGAGAAGTGTGAAGGCAATTTCTCATGACGCGCTGATCAAACGTAATTAAAAAATATCGTATTTTTTGTTGTTTTTTGATGGGGGGGGGGGGGGGGGAGGGGGCGGGGACAGGAGGGGGGCATTGGCACATCAAAATATGGAGTTCATCAGATAAATTCGAATTGACCAACATTTTCCGGCGGACGTGTTTTTAGGAGCTTTTCAGATTTATTCGGTAACACGGAATACTATGATTTGTCGATTATATTACAATAATGGATAGTGCGAAAGACCCACCGTTTTCAAACCGACAGAAAAATTTGTCGTTTTCAATATTTGAAGTAATAAAAAAAATAACTGTTACTTCATCAAGTAATGTTCTCTTTATTCTCATGTAATAAAGTAATCTAATTGAATAATATGTTACCAACAGTAGTTGTAATATTAATCAAATTAACGTGTACAACACATATTCTTCCCCACCCGCGGCGAAATTTTGATTTTAGTTTTTCGGAAATCCCACAGTTAATTTTGGTAATAATGTAAAAAGATACTTAAACCAAGCTGGGTATCGCGACACAAACGACACATCCTTAATGTATTTCACTACTGAAATACAAATACATTTTTCAAATGTATCTCAATACAGAGGTACAGAAACTCGAAGGTATCTGTGAAATGCTATCGCGATACATTTGTATCGCGATGCTGCTTAGCTCTGACTCAAAGTTGCCAGGTGAAATCGGACAACCAGATATTATTCCTAATTCAGGCGATTCATCATAAACTGAGGCCCAAAACAAGTCAGCTGACAGCCGAACAGCCAAGGCAGTGAAACCTAATCTGGCACTTGTTTGGAAATTTAAGGCCAAGATAGCCAGCTCTGGCCGAAGGATATCAAGTTTTTTACATATTTGTTTTTTGTCGCTTTGAAGGTGCTAAATTGCCGAGCAAAACCAAGATTTGTCCCAAGGAATTGTACTACTGGGCCAGCTTGGTTAACTAGAGGTGTTGGAATGAAGCGCGACGCGTTCGAGGTCACTTGATCGACAGCCCATCTCACCTTTAGCGTCTAGGGCGAGGGAGAAAGACACGTTATTGTTGTCACCTTCCGTGGGGTCGGCTCTCCAAATCGGCGAAACTAAACACCCAGAATTTTCCACTCTCCACAGGAAGCCTCAAAATCTTTGCGGCTTCCGCTATCCATAACCCGGAATCCGGGATGGTCTGGGCCCGTTTGCTCGAAGCTGGTTAACTAACCGCGGTTAACCGGATTTCCCTACGACGGGGAATTTTGGGTCACGTGACCGGCAGAGTAAGGACGGCGGGGAAACATGGCGGTGCCCCGGTGAGTGAGCTCCGCTCGCTTTGGAACTAATACGTCGCAGTAGCTGCAGTAGCGGGCGCGTTAGTCAGCAATGAATGGTGCAGGAGGTTTTCGCGCTGCATTACCTCACTTAAAACGCAAAACATGAGCAATGACCTCGCCGAATTTTTTAGATAGACTTTCGACTCTGAGCATTCCTAAGCCTAAATGAACGCGATAGTTGTCGGCATGGCAACGTTTTTGGAAAGTGGATTGCCTTGACTCAATCGGCCGGGTATTGATAGCACACAGAAGCATGGAGCGTTCCCATAGACCTCTTGCTAAATTTCAAAAGCACCGAGGTGCATGCTACGAGTGTAGTTACACGCGCTGCACCTGCTGGCGTCTGCAGTAATAACTGTTCTGAAGCAAAAAGCCTAAAACAAATGTTGCCGTGCACGGGCGTTCGTCAACGATTTATTATGATTATTTACTTCAAATCTTTTATAAGTGGAAGGCCAGCGCGCGCGGATCATAGAATTACACTTCCAGCGTTCTTCTCGATGTTCGGGTAATTTAATAGGTCAATTTTCAGTGGAGCCAAGTTACAGGTTTTTCAATTTATGAGTTCTTACATGCTGGCCAACCATGCTGCCGGTGTACCGCCCGCCTTTCACTGCTCACTTCTTTCTCATCGTTTTTAGGACTCAACTTCGTCGTCCTCTTTCGAAGTCGGAAGGAAATTTCAACGAGGCTTTTCTTCACTTCATACAGCCAAATATTTAGAAAATTTCCAAACAAGGGTTAATTTAGTTTTACCTTGCCAATTATTTGTACCACGAGCAAAAAAAAAATGGTTTCTTAAGCTCAAATGTATGCCACGCTGCGTCGCGAAAACCAGGCAGCGCGCATTTTTTGGGTCCCCCCATTTCGGGAACCTTTCCACAGAAGCCACTTATATTCGCTACAGCCAGTAGGTGACACCAGCCACCGCCCCATAATAAAACACGGAGCTATCGCTCATCCAGCCCTCTTCAAACTTGGCTAGGTACTTGTAGGTACCTAGTAGGGAAGGTCGGTTAACTTTTAACCGCGGTTAGAGTTAACCGGCTTCGAGCAAACGGGCCCTGGAGTGTGAGCTGGCCTGAAGAGTTTCGCCTCTGTGAGAGGCGCGGAAAGGCGCTTCCTGATATCGGCTTCTCTTCTATTGTTTTTAGGAGGTAGCCATAGACGCCTTTATCGACAGCAGGGAGAAGGTGTGACTCGCTGCGTGCACCATGATTATGCTACGGTTGGCCAAAGTGGGTCTCAGAGGCCAGATTCACGAAGAGCTTCTTAGTTTACGACAACTTAGCTAAGAAGTTCGTAAGTTAAGAACATCGTAAGAAGAGGAGAAATCGGTATTCACGAACGCGTTCTTAAGTGAGAGGAGGAAAGCGACGTTGTCGTACGGAAAAACTAAAACTTACCGGTGCTGTTGCTATGGCGACGGCGTCTTCGGCAGCACGAACAACCAATCGGAGAGCTCGGCATTTGTTCGGAGCTCTTCGGAGCCGTTCGGAGCACGTGGATTTTTCATAACAAACACAGGCGGCCTTTCTGCCACCGCTTGTCTGGGGTTCGTATCCGTACAGTGATATGTCGACGCTAACCACGACCAACTCTATACGCTAACACGATTTAAACTCGCCCGAATGCCGAGGCCGGGATGCGTAACCACCCGTATTGACTGCTACGAACTCGATCGCTACCAAGTCAACACAACTGTCATCGTTTGTAAAAGACGGCCCGCAGTCGTTTGCAAAGTGACGTAGATGGGAACAAATTGCCGCGGCGTTTTCTGCGGCCTCGGAGATGCAGGAGCGAGCCGACGTTAAAAAAGATACGTTTGAACTACGACAGTGTAAGCAAGAGCCACGTAAATGCCTGTTCACACTACGGAGCGGACGCGCGCGTTTGATCGAAGTGCTGGATTTGCGCTGTTGGACCGCGAATTGATAAGCGCTTCGGGACCGATCCTTTACAATTGCAACTCGATGCTGACGTGACACCCGGCGAAGAAAGGTTGGACCGGCATTGCGACCCACGAACTCTTACAGCGATCGACAGTGAAATGCAGTCGTGTCAGAATAAAATGAAATACCAATAACAAAATGTACATACCATGTTGCGAAGGTAATCCATACGGCGTTTATTTGAGCTTGATATCACACAAAACAGCGATAGAATCGATGAGAGCCCCTTTTCGACGACAGCGTTCGTCACCGTTGCCTCGGAAAACAAGGAGATGACAAGAGGAAGAGGTTGACCTCTTAATCTAGAATTGAGGTCAGCGATCAAACTAATACGGGAAGGGTTCACAAGGGTCGCGCGGGCATATTCCATTCAGCACGCCAGCCGGTCGTGGGCAGACGGTCTTCGCCAAGGACCGTCAGATCATCGCTGCGCCGAGTCGGAGTGCCTGCTAGGCCTATCCGCCGATCGGTCGGAATCCGTACTCGTGGCCCTTGGAGTCTTTCCCGGGTGTCTGTGGATCCAGCGTTCTTGTTCGTTCGTCGTGGTCTGTTTCAAGTACTTTTTACTTGTTTCTTGCTGCTTGAAGTCGGGACGCGTGAGAAGCGCACGTAGAAAAATAAAGATCCGCTGGTTGTCGCGACCAACTGAGCGACGCTGTCGGCCATGCTGATTTGATCGTAAGAAGTGCGTAAGACAGCTTCGGAGCTGTCGTAGGATTTCGTCGTAACCTGCGCAAAACTTAAGAAAATTTCGTTTCGTGAATACGGATTTGTTCTTAAGTTTTGTCTTACGCACATTTTTGGCGTAAGATCGTTTCGTGAATCTGGCCTCAGAACCCTTCACGATACATCCGATAGTCTGCACCGGTGTCCAAGTATTGTATCGTAAGGAAGCTATCGTGGCGACGCTACAACTATTTTTTTTTTCTTCATTGTTTCACGTGTGTTCTACTTGGTTTCTGTTTTATATTTCAGGTCGTGCGCCGGAGCGATGGACATTGTTTGGGATAGAGGAGGATTGATCTCAATTAACGTGGAACTCAGAGACAGGCAAGTCGACAGTGCATTTGTCGCGGATCGGACAAGCGCCAAAGAATAACATTGGAATATCACGTAAAAATATTTGAAAGATTTCAATGAATAGAGCAATATAAGTAGACAACCTATGAATCTTTCGTTTAAAATTATTTTGAGTATGTAATCTTTCCTTATTACACAGATATGTCACCTTGATGAAGTCATTGTTGTCACCAGACTTCTCCTACGCTTTGTATTCCACCGTCTATGACGACAGCACTTACAAGGGTGAGGCTCACATTCTTTCGGTTTCCGCAGTGAACATGGAGTTGTAAAACGCCGTAGCATTTGGAGGTTGACTGATTGAATTTGGCGTCATACTTTCACGTGACATCAAGATGTCACATAAAATAATATAGAACTCCTTAGAAATAAGAAGCTCAACATAATTTCTATAATACTTTCGTAGAAATTTAATAATATTTCAATAAAGATTTTATACAAATTCTAGAGAAGTTGTTCGAGAGAAATAATCCCATGACGTAATGATCGATATTACGTGATTACTAGTTACTCACGTGACAACTATTTGTAAAGTAGCATACTTATCTCTCTTGCACTTATAAATCTGGCGCTTTACGTGGTGGACCCAACGCCAATGTCTGCTCAGAGAGGGACATGAGGCCGGTTCTCACATGCAGCGAAGCGCTGATGTAGCGCTGCTCACGTGTCGTCTGCTACTCATCATCTGCCATGAGCAAGAGTTTTGACGGTACGGCATAAAGCCGATGAAGGCTCCCGTCAGCACGCGCTTAGCGCGAGGTCAGCGTTATGGTTGTAGCGCTCCGCTACATGTGTGAACAGGCCCTGAGTGTGTCCCTCTCCGAGCAGACATTGGCGTTGGGTCCACCACGTAAAGCGCCACATACATAACAATACGTTAAGGTCCGATAAGATATCGCTGGGATTGTACAGTGGCTTTTCACAGGGCTGCTTGTTTGTCTTTTGAAGAATTTTAATACTAATGTGGCCTCCGCCATCAGCTGAGTGATGCGAAACCAAATAAAATTAAATTGCATCAAGATCTAAAAAAAGCGTCGATACTTGGTGCAGACTTAATTTATAATAAACAGTTGCAGTGAATAAATGCCGGGACAGTCGTTGTTGAATTCGTGTCATGGTTTCTCAATAGGAACTGATTTATTGAAACCCTTGGTGCGATATGAATGCGGGGTAGTTCACAATAATTCAATTGTGTTTTTAATGCGAAAACATTAACTAACCCGTGGAGCGGAGCCGACGGCGCGTGTAACCGCAAAAAAAAAAAAAAAAAAAAAAAAAAAAATGAAACGCGAAAGAAATGCATATTTTCCCATTGGCTGAGGAAATCACTAACGCCCGCCACACTCGGCCGCAACTTAGGTGGCAGGCGTTGCCGTGGGGGGAGGGGCGGCCGCTTCTGCTCTTCTCAGCGCCAAGGAACATAGTGGCGCCTGAGGCATCTATATCATTGGCGGCCACACCCTCGGCAGTAGCGAAACGTGGCCGCGCCGACGCCAGTACACCGCAGACGAAGTAAGGGAGCGAAAGAGCAACATTCACGCTTTCGCGTTCAGAACTCATATGTGCGGAGGTGTCCTCAGAATTTTTTTAGTTCTATATATTTAGATTTGTTGCAATGATCAAATTTATGTGAAAGTGCTTTGAATAGTTGTCTTCATTTTGTTTGATGGACTCCACAAGATACATTCGTGTCCCATAAGCACTCCCTCGCGCTAAACCGCCATCACTTACCCCCCTGTCTTCTCAGGTTTTCCCACAAGTATGCCTGAGGCAGTTCTTCGGGAGCTGTTCGGTGTGTACTGTACCCTTTTATGATTGCTCACAACTATACTTGGTGACGGGTTAATAACTAAGCAAATGCACCCTCTCCAGCGCGAGTCTTCTGCCTTTGATATAGCCCTTGTCGCACGCTCAGCCAAGGCCCGCCGGCAGAAAGCAACGAACCCGTGCTGAAGGCGGAGCATCAGCTGAATTTTCAGCCTTTTGCCGTCTGTGAAACTGCGGCTACACAGCTAATACATCCTACAAAAGAACGTCTGCAGACACTCTCTGTGGTCTTCCTTGTATGATTATCACATTGGTCATACAAGAACGGTCCGCAGACATGCTCGAAGCATGTATGAAGCCAACAAGCTTCGAATGTGCTTGAGGCGAGTCCACAGATGATTCTGCCATCAGGTCTGTGATGGACACCGGGTCTTTCTGTCTGGTGCACGAGCAGTGGGAGTGCGGCTGAATGCGCGCGAAATTCTTAATCACAGTTTTTATAGAGCGAAGCAGTACGGCCTTCTAAATGCTTTTTAAGGAATGGAATGCCTTGTAACGCAGCACCTTAATCCCGTAATATTGTCCGTTCGTCTTTGCATTTTTCCGCTAAATTTAGCGGGAATTAATGTCACGTAACCCGGTGTCACGCGACAACACGATATCGCGTGGCACCACGACTTGACACCGTGACCTGGTCCGACGTCATTAGAAATTTGTTTCGCTGAATTTAGAGGGAAACTTGACATTGCGTCCCCGGGTATAAGGCAAATTTCCCCGCTAAAATAAATTGACATCACGCATAATTCCTCCGCTGTTTTTAGCGGAGAACTTGACGTCACGTGACGTCGTTTCGTTCCGTGACACCACCATTTGAAGACATCTAGAAGACAGGACGCAGGCATTGTCTTCTAGATGGAATGCAGAGAGCAAGTCGTCTGCTTGTTGCGCAGGGATTGCTGTGACGTCAGAACGACGCCCTGAATGGCCTTGATTGGAAAGATGGCGGGTAGACCTCAATGGCTAGATGCCTTGAGGTGTACTGAGTATTTCTTTTGAATCAGACAACAAGAGCTTGGCGTTCTGAAATATCGCAGCCCCTGTACAAGAAGCAGACGCACTCGTGCTCCAGATAGGTTCAAGCCGCGTGCCAGTGCTCGAGCTCACTTTCATTAAAGCAACAATTGAACAACAGCAGAGTAAGTAAATCACTCATTTGACTTTTTTCTTTCATTTTCGTTAACAGCAGGAAAAGGCATAAGGCTGCGTTTAATTGATTCGGATGGTCCGAGGCCGCGTCCTTACACCGAAGCAGGCACTGTTCAACTTTGGCACTTGACGGAATGATGGCAAGACCTGACCTTGGCCGCGTCGGCAGCGACAACTTCACCGCAACCGGATTGCCTTGCATCGCAAGACAGCTGCCTCGCTCTATCTCACGCTCTGTTTAGTGCCACTAAATAAGCTACGCTTAGATAACTGGCAATAATGATTTCATGCTCTAAGATGGGCAAGTGTTGTTACTCTAAAGTTTAGAGTAACGACACTTACCCATCTTAGAGCATGAAATCATTATTGCAAGTTATCTTAAGCTTTATCTAAAATCACAAGAAACGTGTAAATCTAATGCCGAGGAAGTCGCACTTTTGAATCATGACAATCGGAAGGAGCGTTTGCTCTGTACTAAGCACCAAGATGGCGGCGCCCGCAACAGTGTCTGGTAACAAAGTACCGATACTCTAACCGTAGCTCATCTCATGGCGCCGAGGAACAGATGCCAATCAGATACCTTCTAGAAAACAAAGCCTGCGCAGTTCCTCCCCAAATGTCATCCACACAGCACCACCTACTTTGCGTCAGCATTGTCACCAGCACGTCTTGGAGCATCTAACAACGAGCGCGGCGATGGGACCAACAAAAGACGTCAGAAGCGCACCAAGGTCATGCTTGTCGTGTTTCTGTACGTGATCGATCATTGTTGAACCAGTCATGTACAGGGAAGGACCGGTAACTTGCTCTTTTCACTCTGATTGGTCCCAGCTCTTCGCGTCGGCTCTGTCCATCCAGACGAACTCGCCTGTCGCTTCGCGGCGACTTTCGTGGAGCTTCAGCATGTTTGCCGCTCAGCACGGGTCCAGCGGGTTTCCTCTAAAAATGGCGTCATGGGCAAGCTTTGTCTTCTAGATGGTATTGGTCAATCCCGATTGCCATTGGCCAATGTTGTTAAAAATGCGTTCACCCTGTGTTTTTATTTTTATATCTTTACACCGTGAATGGGCGATATTTTGGGATTTTACGATACTCCGTTATTCAACGGTTCCTTTGTGCTCTTGTTTTAGTTAATGAAACAGAAATATATAAAGGTGCATTCTTCCGACACGAATGGCCCGCGTTGCATGTTTTACCAATTCTCCAGTCACTGTTATCCTGTGGCACTCGACGAAGTGGCGAAGGGATCCCACCTCGGTAGTATCGGAAACATTTGCTCCACAAGCGGACGCCCAGCATAGCGAGACAATACGTCCTTTTCAAAAGTTCCCGCAATGTAATAGCTGCTGCACCAATTATCCGCGTTTGCCATTGTTTGAGAACGTACTTCGAGTGAACAATTAAATAGTGAAAAAACAAAATTTCAGAACCTTGATCATGCTGACAAAGACCACAAAATGTGTCGTGAACAAACCAACACATGGTATAATTACAGTGCCCTAGAAGTTGGAGATAGGGCTTGCCGACCCTATCTCCCCCATGTATTGCGCTGAAGCGGCCCATGTCAAAAACGCCGGAGGCGCAGCTGTAGATTCCCCCTGAAACTTCTCCCGCCCGCTGCCCGCGATTGATAAGAGTCGCCTGGCCGACCTGGTCTGGCCAATGCTCGCTGGAAAGTTTCAAGAGGAAACGCTTACAGCGCCACCGCCGCGTCGATATCAAACGCATCAGACCGAGCCGTCCCGTGAGCCCACTACAACTCTCTAGGCCACTGTACCCCTACTCAAGACACTTGACGCTACCTAGGTGGCCGCGCGCACAGAGCTGCTAGACCACCAAGCAGTTTCGCATATCGTATATTGGAGTCCCATGCACAAGAAGTTGCTCGGTTAAATTCACACACACGCACACACACACACACACACACACGCACACGCACACGCACACGCACACACACACACACAATATATATATATATATATATATATATATATATAATGGGAATGAGTGAAGATTGACAAGTGCAGCCGTAGTAATATTGTGAACGAAGAAAGGAGAAGGTGATTATTGAATTTATTGCATTAAAGTTAGGGGAAAGGAAAGGAGAGCTGGCGAAAAATTGGGCCACGAGCGCAACCTTCGCCTGTCCGGGGCGACGCCTTAACCGATTAGACCATTGCGGCCACTGGTTTCGGCGGACTCAATTTCTGGCCAGCTCTCTGTGTACTGTTTAGTTTCGAATTCGCTTAACTTGGTAGACGACAACCGTTGCTGATTTAAAGCCCGCGCTATTTCCGACATGCAGCAGTGGCGTGGCACGTCATCTCAGCTTGCAAATGTCGGAAAGGGCCCGAATTCAAAACTAAACAGTACAAAGAGAGCTGGTCAGAAATTGAGTCCACCGGAACCAGTGGCGCATAAATAAATAAATATATATATATATATATATACGCGAGTATATCTCGAGATTTCATTTTATGACAAATCTTAACTTAGAGATAGAACTCGTAGTGTTCCTTTTCCAGACTGCCTTTTTTTATCAACCGAATAAATCGGTAATTGTTGCATAAAGGTACGTGGAGATGACAGGCGCCTTGTTGTGGAAAGGGTCGAATTTACTGCAAAAAACAGTGTCGCTTCTCGGCCTTTTGGCTAAGATCGTGTGTTCAGTTCTTGTGTAAAGTGTACCTATTGTATCGAAGCGTCCAATAACTATAAATAAGCTTGAAGACCAGCGTGCGCATTATGTATGTGTCCAGATCCAATGAATTGACGTCAATAAACTTTTTCTAACCAGTTTTTTGTTCTTATCAGCTTAATATCTAATACGGACCTTATTGGTCAGGGATATTAAACTTATTTTTGAAAATGGTGTTTACTCGGAGCTTGCTTTGAGGACGCCATGGTTGGACCGGTTTCGCACTACTTCCGGGACTGGCCTGTTCCCACCTTGGGGGACAAATGACGTATTAAAAATGAGATCTAAAATATTCACCTTTATTAGCGTTGTGATCTGTCCATGACTTCATCAAATTACTTCCGAATTTCAAATTAAGTGAACTACTCTGCTGAAGGGAGGAGGCAGGCGGAATGCTGTTGCGAGGGGTATGTTTCCTCCTCTCCAGCCATTCATCTGCTTCCTCCTCCCAGTCTTCTTTTTTCACCTACTATTCATTCCGTGCGACCAAGGCGCGACCGGCGCGCCGCCTCGCGGCCGTTACCGAAGGTAGGCAGTGAGAACCCCAGCAAAAGGAATCCACGCCCCGTACAATGGTGCGCATTGTATGCGTTGTGTCTCGTGGGGACAAAGTTTCATGGTTTTTCAACTCGCCGATGTTTTGTGGGACAGCAAGAACGATGGACCCGTGCCGAACGACGCGAGAAATTTGGTCTCCCGATCATGTCTGCCCCTGTGTCGGCACGGCTGACATATTCTGCACTGCCGCTTTGCTCTCCGCGTTTGTTTTTGTACCAGTAACACCTACACATGTTAGCGCCGATACGACGAACTGTAATATCATCTCACACTCACGGATATGCAGAGCCGATTTCGTTGGAGGAATGCCCTCCAAAGAAGTTTCGTCCCCATCGTACGTGTCGAGGATATTTCCGGCCCAGTATGGCATGCAGTCTGCACTTCATGAAGAAGGATTCGGACGGCGCAAAAAGTGAGAAATATGAAACTAAGGGAAACTACCATGAAACTTGATATCACTGGATAATTGACGCTTGAGTATGGCAGTTTAAGTGGTGTGCTTTCTTTTTTGATCAGCCTCCTCTCAAACTTAAAAATATTTAATATATTTTTTTAGATCAAATATCTGGGGTACCTGCCGGTACCCCATATCTGCAAAACATGACTGCAAAACAAAACGCCGGAATTGTTTTTGATCAATTTAAAGTAATCAAAATGTTTTTCCTCTGATCCAACTGATCGCGTGGTGGGCCGCTAGTGCGCGTGGCAAACTTGACAGCCTTCGACATACTCTTTCGTAGTAGCCGTCATCTTCGGCCACCAATAACGGTCTTTGACCTTTGTGAGGGTGCGTGACACATCCATGTGTCCATCGGCGTCATGAGCAAGTTCAAGGACCTGCTGTTGCATCTTGGCCGGGACAACAATTGTGCACAGTTCTGGATTCACAACTCTGCACAGGGTTACCACAACAAAGTTCTGGGTGCCCTGTCCTGACAGAAGTTTTGCACGGATAGCCTTGCATGTTTCGTCTTCAGCTTGCATTGCGATGAGTGTGTCGACCTGGGACACCGTGGCACATGAGTATCGTGAAAGCATGTCAGCCACGTGGTTCTGACGCCCGGGTCGGTGCTCAACCGAGAAGTCAAACTCGGCTAGGTCGAGTAGCTTTCCTGTAAAGCGTCGCGACGGCTTGAAGTTCGAGGTCAAACAGGCGACTGGCCAGTTGTCAGTGAGAAGATGGAACCGTCGTCCCAATAGGTAATGTCGAAATTTCATTATAATGGCCCAATGCACGGCCATGGTTTCCCAAACATTGCTGTGCAGTTTCCGTTCAGGTTCCGTGAGCAATCGGCTGGCATACTCAATCACAGTCTCTTTTCCGTCTTGCTTCTGGGCGAGTACTGCTCCAAGGGCTGTAGCAGATGCGTCTGTGGCGACTGTCGTAGGCGCGTCAGCATCAAAGTGGCCTAATATTGGTGGTGACGTTAGTGCAGAGCGGATAGTTTCAAAAGCCTGCTGGCACTCGGGTGTCCACTGGAACTTGACGTTCCGAATGGCGGCTTGAAGAGGCGCTGCAATCTTCGAAAAGTCACATATGAAGCGTCTGTAAAACTTGGCCGTTTGGAGCCACGATAGCAGCCGTTTCGACGTTGTTGGCGCTGGGATTCGCAGGAGTGCTTCGATTTTTGAAGGGTTTGGTTGTTTGCCTTGTTCAGAGATCACAAATCCAAGAAACTTCACAGAAGGAACCGCAAACTTGCACTTCTTCAAGGAAACCTTGAAGCCGGCCTGCAGCATGCAGGAGAGTCAGGGCCTCTTCGAGAAGATCCAGGAACTCCGAAAAGGTGTCGGCAAAGATGATGATGTCATCCAGGTATCTGCACACACCTGATTTGGACTGTCGGGGCTTCAGCTAAGAAATATCTTGTGCATCGTCTTT